GTGGATAAAGACACATCAAAACGTTCTCCTTCAACAAAAATTGCTGTATACATTTTGAATCTCTTCAGGACATTGAGGCAGCCATGAAAAGACAGGAAAGAGGACTCCAGAGCTGCTTCTGACATAGCAAGAGCGACGGGATCAGTGTTCGTGAAGTGAGGGGATATCCTGAGGGTGATTAATGTTAATGTGTCTCTTATCGTAAGAAATTACTTACACATTCACCACAGTTTTTGATCATGTCGCATAAGTGACAGAGACCTTCACATACATTAGAGAAAATTGTGTCAGGGTCATGATTAGGACTAGGACCCAGTCCTGTATGGTATTAAGTCCAGATCTCTTCCTATAACGTACCTACGTTCACTCTTTTGTCTCTTTAGTGTGCCAGGTCCTGACACTATGCGCTACTTCTAAATACGTTTAACCTTATCATTTTTCTGGAAAGGATGGAGAAGTAGTGCCAAGATGAGCGGTTCATACTAAAGTGTGAATGTCTGTACCTAGCCTCATACATTTCCCCCACCTGGGCCACTTACACTTAGGCTATTCTCTAAGGCAACCAACGACATTCTGTGTGGATAAGTACTCTCTTGCTGTGTAAGAATCATCCCACCATGGACTAAACTAGAACCCCGTCTCACAGTCTCTGTGGATCTGACTCAGGGAAGAGAGAAGTCGCGACTGTCCTCTAAGACATTTTGTGCTCAGCTGCTATTCAAGATTTGAAGCCTGAGGGCAGGAACATCTGGAGGCCCCGGGCCCATAGGTGGATTCCTCTGGGCATAGAGACTGGATGCCTGGAGCGAGCACTCAGATGGACAGTCACACGGGGCTCAGCCTGCCTTGGTGACCCAGGGTCACTTCAGCCTCTGGGCACGGGCGGGAGCAGCACCACAGCCCACCCAGCTTTGGAGGACAGTGACGCCTGTGGTCTGTCGCTGAGGCTGCGATCAGAGAGCTGGCCCTTTGCGAGGCAGCCTTTGGACAGTGCAGTCGCGTGCCCAGGTCATGCATGGGCCCTGGGCAGTAAGGTACCCTGGGTGTGGCTCTACTCAGATCCCATTGTACCTGGGGTCCCTTTGCTCCAGCTGCCTGTGTCCTGATTTTGTTTTTCTCTGCATTTCTGCTGCAGTTCTTCCAGGATACACAGCCAGCCCAAAATACTGACAGACAAGGGGCATAGGCCCCCTGGGCCACGGGGACCTGATGGGGACAAGCGGCAGGACTAGAAGCATGGATCCAGTTGTCTGGGCCCTCAGATGGAGACCACATGGGTTGGGCTGGGTGTGGGTGAGTGTTTCCTGGGACACGAGGGTCTGTCCAGCAAGCTGGATTTGTGCCTTTTCGTGGGGAGCTCCATAAACAGCTCCTCCGCTGGAAGAGGGACCGGAACTCTGTTGGTGGAGAGCCCTGAGCCGTTGTTTGAGAAAGCCCTCCTTCCTCATCGTCTTCATCCAAGAGCTGGCGGTGAGGCTCTTGTGGTTTTTGTTTGGCCTGAAGACCCTGAGATGAAGATGGTAGAGTGGGGAAGTGGCAGAAGCGAGGGAAGGCAGCAGTGAAGGGTATCAGGGATGCCGGGGACCATGTGGGGAGGGAAGCTGCTCTGCTCTGGTGGCCTCACCTCGGCTGCCATCAGAGCCTGCTGTGCTCCATCCTGGGGCCCCGGATGGCAGGGTGGTGGGGAGCACAAGCCAGGCATCGAGATGTGTGTGACAGGCAGTAACTGTCCCAATGTGCCCAGAACTAAAAGGGATCCCTTAGTTTTAAAACTAAGAAGACCTCAGATAAGCCACGGGGTGGCGGTCACCTTAGCCACAGGGGAAGAACAACCTAGGGTGCTCGTTGGTCACTAGGCAAGGTGGCTCAGTGGCAGAGCACATCCTTAGCAAGCTCAAGGTCCCGGATTCAATTGCCTAGGACTATAGGAAAGAAAAAAAAAGAAATGAAAAGAAAAGAAAAGAACAACAAAACAGCAACAAAACCAGAAAGGCTAAACAATTTTTTTACAGACGATGAAGATGTGCTGGACTTGGTGTGGCTCCACCTTGCACAATTTTGTGAATATGTTAAAAGACACTGAACTATGTACTTTAGAAGGATGAACTTTATGGTATGTAAATTATAAACCTTCTCAAAACTGACTCAGCCAAGCATGGTGAGCCACACTTCTCATCCCAGCTACTTGGGAGGCTGAAACAGGAGGATCTCAAATTCAGGTCAGATGGCCAACTCAGTGAGACCCATAAGTAAATAAATAAATAAATAAATACACACAGACAGACTGACAGACAGACAAACAGACAGACAGAGGATAGGTCAGTGGAATGGGATTGGGAATCCAGATATAACTCTTATTTTTATGACCCTTAACTTGGTAACATCTGTGAAAACCTCTTTTTTTTTTTTTTTTTTTTTTTTTTTTTTTTTTTTTTTTTGGTTTTTTTTTTTTGGTAAAACAGGGTCTTACTAAGTCATTAAGTT